GGGTACCTTATTTTTCTCCATACTCTTTCTCCTTTTATCCATTGTCTTTCCTTGTTAAGTTTGAATTTTGAAAATTGACTACCTGGGATATCTTTGTTTATGATTTTTTTGTTCCTCCTTTCCATAGAACTTTGAAGTAGTAAGGTTAAATTTTGCTTTTAGTTTAACCTCACAAAGTATGAAATGTTTACCAATTAGACATTTTCTTGAAATACTTGTCACCCAAATGGAATTTAACACAGTTCTCAAAGGTTATTTGGGAAAATGTTATGAATTCTAGTTCACTGAACAATTTTACAGAGAGTAGAATTATGATATTCTAATGATGTAATCTTCTATAAACATTTATTGACTCAAAATGATGTAATATCCTTAAAGATATACTGCTATAGTATTCTCTTTAAGTTTATCTTAACTTCAATCTATTACTCTAATTAACTACTTGAAAGTATTTAATCATTTTTGCTCATAAAATTAACAGAAAACACACTTATCATTAGTTATTGCAACATTTTACTCTTACAATAATAAATATGCATTTATACTTCAGAATTTTAACNTTCTCTTTAAGTTTATCTTAACTTCAATCTATTACTCTAATTAACTACTTGAAAGTATTTAATCATTTTTGCTCATAAAATTAACAGAAAACACACTTATCATTAGTTATTGCAACATTTTACTCTTACAATAATAAATATGCATTTATACTTCAGAATTTTAACGTATCTAGCACATTAGGAGGATTTCACTATGGGTTATATGTAGAATGCTTACTCATGTTTGAAAGTGAATATTCATACATTAACAATAAATATAATCCCCCCAAATAAATACTATTTGAGGTGATAGATATGTTAATTAGATTGGTTGTAGTAATAATTTCATGAAGTATGCATATATCAAAACATCATATTGTACACTTCAAATATATAAAATTTTTATTTGTCAATTGTAACTCACTAAAGCTAGAAAAAGTAAAATTAAAAATATAAAAAACTTGTGTCCCATTTATGTTATAGCTATTTTTACACAGATTATGTATAATGATCATCAACATGATCATAAGATCACTGTTCACTCACAAATTTAGGAACAGCAGAAATGCTTAGATCTTCAGTTTTGTAAAGCCCAAGGCTGAAACTGAAGCCATATCAAAAATTCTGACTGAATACTGAGTCCAAATATCCACTTTGTTACATTTCTTCCCCTTATCAAACATAAAGTCAGGATAGGTATAAAAGAAAAAGGTCAAGGCTTTGAAAACTCAAAGACTGCACACACTTGAAACTTCCTGCATTTATGTTCATTATTATCATTATATATGTCCTAATTGATCTTTATGTTTTGAATTTTCAAGCAATATATGAGATATATGTCAGTGAAAAGTAATGGGAAAGTGATCTTAAAAATTTAATTCAGCCTGTTATTGGTACCAATAATCCCATGAATAGTGATGAAGTGAAAACAAAAGCATCATGTCTGGCTAGAGGGGACATCCTTACCTATGAAATGCTGGCATCATGTGAGTGAGCAATGCAAAATCTCAAACATAGCTTTTAGGAATAAGGTTTCCTTTATTTGATTCTTCTTTTGAAATACAACCACATGAGAGTCCGAAAGTCATAAGTGCTTAGGTGCTGTCCATATTACAATATAATTCACAGAATCTGCCTATGATGGCCACTTTCCATTGCTATAATAATCTGCATCCCCTAATCAGCAGCGAGGGCAGATGAATAAGCATTAGACAGAACTTTCACTGCCTCCTCGAAAGTTTGTCCTCAGTAATCCTCCACAGCTCTTATTTTCCTCTTGTGATTCCTTACATATACTCTGATGTACAGCTCCAGCCAACTTATCCTTTAAAATCTTCCTCTGGACTAGGGTTTTAAAGCATTAGATTAACTGTGCAGAGCCAAATTTAGCATGCATACATATAAGAACTAAGATTTTACATATATTACATAGTGAATATGAGACCTGTGATCTAATCACAAAAGGAAATTCTAAAGTGTTTTAAGAAGGGAATGCTGATATTACAGAGAGTAGGTATCTAATGAGTCACGTCAACTACTTCAGGCAGTTCTTTATCCCTTCATTGATTGTCATGTCCTGCACGAGTACCCCCTTATTTGAAACAACATTTCCTAAATGCCTACTGTATGCCAGGAATTATTCTTTAGTATAAAAAGATGACAAAGATTTGGCTCCTGCCCTCGAGAGTCTGAGAGGGGACCTGGCATGTAGTAGGAACCCAAAGAACATTTTATGAATGAACAAAGTAATTACAGGAGTTTACGAGTTTCTTTATGATTTATGTATTTTGAAAATTTCAATGCCAGAACTAAATCAACAAAATGAAAAGAGATTGTGAAGAAAGGGCATGATATTCTTAGGTTGCATTCACCAAGTCATTTTTCCCACAGAAAAAAAATAAAATGATTTTAAATTATTAGTGTTTAGAGTTTTTTGCAATAATTTTTTGCATCTTTAAAGATACCTAGGTAACAATCGACAGTGGAAATTTAGTTTGGGGGCCTTCACTACAAAACTGTGTGTGTGTGTGTTTGTTTTTTTTTTAAATCAGCCCCCAAGCATTCAATACTTGCATTCCTCTTTGGACAAAAGGTGCTAAAAAATGGAAAAACTAAAGATGGACAAAGGCTTACCAATACCTCTGCAGAGAGATTCCAGTCAACCTCCAGATTCGAATTACTTCTATTTATTCCTTGACAGGTGAGATGAGATTATGATTAATAATAATGTCATCTATCTTATCAAACTAGGAACAGCCAACAGCAAATTATTAGAAACATCTCTAACGCCAACAACTCCTCCATTAACAACTGCTAAAGAAGAAGGTGAGTAGTGATTCATTTTGCCACCATTTTGTTAAATATATAATTCACATACCATAATGGTGACCTTTTAAAGCATACAATTCAGTGGTTTTTAGTATGTTCATAAGATTGTGCAACCATCACCACTCTCTAATTCCAGAATATTTTCATCTCCCCCCAAGGAAACCTTGTATCCATTACCAATCACTCCCCTTCCCCCTCTTTCTCCAGCCTCTGATAATCACTAACCTACTTTCTGCCTCTAAAAATTTGCCTATTCTGGACATTTCATGTAAATTAAATCATACAATACATGACCTTTTGTTTCTGGCTTCTTTCACTTAGCATAATGTTCTCAGGTTCCTCTGTGTTGTAGCGTGTATCTGTAGTTCATTTTTTATGACTTGAATAATATTTAATTGTATGGATATACTACATTTTCTTTATGTATTAGATGATGGACTTTTGTTGATTATAAATAATGCTGCTGTAAACATTTGTGTACAAATTTTTGTGTTCCCACATGTTTGTCATTTCTCTTGAGTACGTATGCTGGAGTGAAACTGCTAAGTTATATGGTAACTGTGTTTAACATTTTGAAGAAATGGCTGGCTGGTTAGCTCATTTGGTTAGAGCGTGGTGCTGGTAACACCAAGGTTAAAGTCCCCATGTGGGCAAGCAGCCAAAAAGAAAAAAAGGTAACATTGGTAACATTTTGAGGAACTGATTTCCAAAGCAGTATACTATATTACATTCCCACCAGCAATGTATGAGAGTTCCAATATCTTCATATTCTAGCCAATACTTGTTGTCTGTCTTTTTCATTATATTCATCCTAGTGGGTATGAAGTGGTATCTCTTTTTTGATTTTGATTTACATTTCCCTAATGACGAATGACGTTGAACATATTTCATGTGCTTGTTAGCCATTCATATATTTTCTTTGAAAAAATGTCTTTTCAAATTTTTGCCCATTTAAAAAAATTGGGCTATTTTTCTTCTTGTTGAGTTGCAAGAGTTCTTTATATATTAGAGACTAGATACTTATCTAATAGATAATCTGCAAATATTTTCTTCCATTCTATAGATTGTCTTCTTATTTCCTTGACAGTATCCTTTGACGCATCACTTTTGTATTAGTTTCTTAGTCAAACCTAAGAAATCATTGCCTAATTCAAGGTCACAAAGATTTATAGCAATATTATTTTCTTCTAAGAGTTCCATAGTTTTAGCTCTTACATTTAAAGTTAATTTTTGCATATAGCATGAGGTAGACATCCAACTGCTTTCTTTTGCATGTAGATATCCAGTTCCTTGGCACCATTTGTTGAAAAGACTATTCTTTTCCCATTTGAATCACCTTGCACCCTTGATGAAAATCAATTGACTATAAATATATGGTTTTTCTTCTGGACTCCTAAATCTACTCCATTTATCTGTATGTCTATCATTATGCCAGATTCTTGATTAATATAGCTTTGTATTAAGTTTTGAAAACAGAATATGTGTATCTTCTTCTTTTTCTTCTTTTTCTAGATTATTTGGCAATTCTGGGTCACTTAAATTTCAGTATGAATTTTAGGATCAACTTTTCAATTTCTGCAAAAAGCCACCTGGGATTGTGATAGGGATTGCATTGGATCTGTAGATCAATTTGGGGAGTATTTTCATCTTAAAAATCTTAAGTCTTCCAATCCATGGGCACAGGATGCCTTTTCATTTACCAAAGTCATCTTTAATTTTTTTTTATCATGCTTATAGTTTTCCATGTACAAGACTCACACTTCTTTTGTTTAATTTATTCCTAATGTTTTTATAAATGGAATCATTTTTTCTTAATTTCAGTTTTGGATTGTTCATTGCTACTGCATAGAAATGCAGTTTATTTTTATATATTGATATTATATCCTGCTACATTGATAAACTTGTTTAATGATTCTAATTCGTCTGTGTGTGTGTTTCTTAGGATTTTCTATATACAAGATCATGCCATCTGCAAATAGAGATAGTGTTTCTTCTTCCTTTTAAGTGTGAATGCCTATTTTATTTTATTTATTTTATTTTTACCTAATTCCCAGGTTAAAACCTCCAATACAATATTAAATAGAAGTGGCGAGAGGGGACATCCTTGTCTTGTTCCTAATTATAAGAGAAAGCAGTCAGTCTTTCACCAATAAGTATAATGTTAGCTATGAGTTTTTCACAGATGCTGTCTTTGTTCATTTTCTACTAAAACAGAATACTACAGACTGGGTAATTTATAAAAAACAGAAGTTTATTTGGCTCATGGTTCTGGAGTCTGGGAAGTTCAAGAACATGGTGCTTGCATCTGGCAAGGGCCTTCATGCTGTGTTATCCTATGGTGGAAGGGCAAGCGAACATGCCAGACCAAGAGACAAGATACGGGCCAAACTTATCCTCTTATCAGGAGCCCATTCCCACAATAATGACATTAATCCATTCATGAAGGAAGAGTTCTCATGACTTAATCACCTCTTAAAGCCTCCACCTCCCAATACCATTAAATTGGCAATTACGTGTGAGTTTTGGAGGTGACATTTAAATCACAGAAATGCCCTTTATCATGATGAGGAAGTTCCTTTCTATTATTAGCTTGTTGAATGTTTTTATCATGAATACCTTTTCTCAGTACATTGAGATTATCATGTGGTTTTTATCCTTTATTTTATTAATATGGAATTGATATCGATTTCTGTATATTGAACCAACCTTGCATTCCTGGGATAAATTCAACTTGGTCATGTATAATTCTTTTTATATGGGGCTAGATTTATTTGTATTATTTTGTTAAGGATTTCTGTGTCTATATTTATTAGAGATGTAAGTTTGTAGTTTTCTTTTCTTGTGATATCTTTGTCTGGTTTTTGGTATCAGGGTAACTAGCTAATAGAATGATTTGGATGTGTTCTCTCCTCCGCTAATTATTGGTAAAGTTTGTGATGATTGATGATAATTGTTCTTTAAATTTTGGTGGAATTTATGAGTGAAGCCATCTATTCCTGGGCTTTTCTTTGTGCAATGTTTTTTAAAAACTTATTATTACTAACAATCTCTTTACTTGTTATAGCTCTATTAGATTTTCTATTCCTTCTTGCCTCAGTGTTCATAGTTGGTGATTTTCTAGGAATTTGTTCCTTTCATCTAGGTTATCTAATTTATTGGCATACAATTATTTATAGCATTACCTTATAACCCTTCTTATTTCTGTAAGTTTAGTAGTAATAAGTCCTCTTTCATTCATGATTTTGATAATTTGAGTCCTCTCTCCTTTTTTCTTTGTTAGGTAACTAAAGGTTTGTCAATTTTTTTTTTTGTTTGTTTTTGTTTTTGTGACCAGTAAGGGGATCACAACCCTTGGCTTGGTGTTGCCCAGCACTGTGCTCAGCCAGTGAGTGCAGCGGCCATCCCTATATGGGATCCGAACCCATGGTGGGAGTGCTGCTGCACTGCCAGTGCTGCACTCTCCCGAGTGAGCCATGGGGTTGGCCCCAAGGTTTGTCAATTTTGTTGATCTTTTCAAAGAACCAACTTTTGATTATATTGTTTTCTGTATTGTCTTTCTATTCTCTATTTTCTTTCTGCTTTATTTTAAGTGGGATACACACAAACACATGCTCGTGCACACACACACACACACCCAACTTGTTAGCGCTGTATCTAGAAAAGAGTAAATAAGTCTAGGTGAAAGCCCTTATTCTTGAGCATAGTGTAGNTTTGAGTCCTCTCTCCTTTTTTCTTTGTTAGGTAACTAAAGGTTTGTCAATTTTTTTTTTTTTTGTGACCAGTAGGGGGATCACAACCCTTGGCTTGGTGTTGCCCAGCACCGTGCTCAGCCAGTGAGCGCAGCGGCCATCCCTATATGGGATCTGAACCCATGGTGGAAGTGCTGCTGCACTGCCAGTGCTGCACTCTCCCGAGTGAGCCATGGGGTTGGCCCCAAGGTTTATCAATTTTGTTGATCTTTTCAAAGAACCAACTTTTGATTATATTGTTTTCTGTATTGTCTTTCTATTCTCTATTTTCTTTCTTTCTTCTCTAATCCTTATTATTTCTTTTCTCCTTCTTCCTCTGGATTTAGTTTTCTCTTCTTCTAGTTTCTTAGTTGGCAGATTAGGACTTTGATTTGATATCTTTCTTCTTTTTTTAATATAGGTATTAACACCTATAAATTTACCTCAGTGTTGCTTTCTCTGCATTTCGTAAATTTTGATATGTTGTGTTTCCAAGTTCATTTATCTCAGAATATTTTCTAATACTTCCTGTGATTTATTCCTTGACCCATTGGTTATTGAGGAGTGTATTACTCAATTTGCACATATTTATGAATTTATTTCCACAATGTTTTAAAAAAATTATTCTTTTCATTTTAATGTATTTACTACCTATCAGATGTTACCCTGTTTAATCATGCAATCTTAAAATTAAATTAAATTATATTTTTAAAATGGTATGAAGACTATTTTAAAGCATATTATACATCCTTGCCACATTAAACAAAGCATAACAAACTTGATCTGCAAGTGATCTGCAATTTGTTTGAAAGCACTATTTTTTCAATAGTGCATTTTGTACTAATTTTAAGGGATGTATTATCATATTGAAAAGATTGTTTAAAATTATTTACATATTATTATCTAAAGACAAAAATCTGAATTTCAGAAAAATTAACATAATAACAAGAAAAAGCAAAAAAATTTATAATAATAATTTGGAATTTGAAACCTGGTTCTTTGACTTCAAATTTTTTTCTTATTATTTAACAAATTAAAAATTAACTATTTTTTAATGGGCCAGTATTATTACTACATTTGGTTATTATATAGTGAGCTCCTTAGATATAAACAAGGCTTATAGGGCTTTTTTTTTCTTTCTGCACAAAATAGTCACCAAATTCCATAATTTTTTGCTTTTCTTTTCTGCTTTTGGTGTATGCTCTTGTTCTGCTTTCAGGCTGTCACTTTGGTTAGATTGCCAGCCTGCTGTGGCTGGTTATTTATCTT